CTAGAATGGTTGAAAGTGCAAGAACCTCCCAGGTGGGCTGACTGGGTGATGGACAGAGAGGAGCCCGTGGCAATAGGGAAGCTCTGGGCCCCCAGAAGTCTCTCTTCTAGGAGAAATCAGATGAGACCAGGAATAAGACACACACCCTCCTCTCCTCTTCCCTCCCCTTCCACTCACCCACCCCAAAAAAGCATCAGTTCAATAGACATTGACTGGATACCTACTAAGGAGCCCTGGTGGCACAGTGGTTAAGTATTTGGCTGCTAACCAAAAGGTTGGAGGTTCAAACCCACTAGCCATTCTGGGGGAGAAAGATGTGGCAGTCTGCTTCCGTAAAGATTACAGCCTTGGAAACCCTATCGGGCAGTTCTATAGGGTCTGTCCTATAGGGTCGCTATGAGTCAGAGTTGACAACAGCAATGGGTTTGGTTTGCTGTGTACCTGCCTCCTGGAAAAGATAAAGATGTAAAAACATCCTCCTGGAGCCCCTTTGTGGTGCAGTGGTTAAGAGCTACGAATGCTAACCAAAAGGCCAGCTGTTCGAATCCATCCGCAGCTCTTTGGAAACCCTATGGGACAGTTCTACTCTGTCCTATAGGGTCAATATGAATCAGAATCAACTCAACAGCCCTGGGCAATGGGTGGGTCCCCTTTGTGGAAGTGGCTCATTCTCTACTTTCTTTCAGAGATGGCCTGTGCCTGGTCAGGTTTGGGGTTCTGAAAGTTCCTAGTGGTAAAGAAATCAAGTGTGTGGGGGCAGAGGGTAGGAGACAGGCTGGTTGAACCCATGGGGACCCCATTTCTGGCTCCCCCAGGGTGCCACTGTGTCCCTCTCAGAGACCGTGCAGAAGTGGCGAGAATACCGGCGCCAGTGCCAGCGCTTCCTGAATGAGGCTCCACCCCCAGCCACAGGTGAGTCCAGGTGGGCCCTCACTCGGCGCTCCCCCCCCCCAGCCAACCCCTGGGGGCTTTGGAGAATCCATGGCTGGGTGCCATTTTTCTCTGTAGGATGCTATACCTTTCTGAAAATCTGCCCTCAGTCCAAGCTGTTCCCACAGCTGGAGTACCTTCCTGCCCCATTTCCACCTAGTATGAAATCTCAGCTTCTTCAGAGTCTAGCTTATATGGAGCTACCTCCTCCAGAAAATCTTCCCCTAGGAATCTCCATTGTTTTTTGTCTCTTACGCATTTGTCCTGTAGTCACCTTTGGGGTTGCTGTCTTATTCCCTCACCCCCAGCCCTAGCTTGAGCCCCTAAAGAGCGGGGAGCTGGCCTTTCCATTTTGTGTCCTCGTCAGCACCTCCCACCCTATGCATGAGCTACTGCTGTTAGCCGCTATGAAGTCGGCTCCCTGAAACATGGTGACCCGGTGCACAACAGAACGAAATGCTGCCTGGTTCTGAGCCATCTCCATGATCAACTGCTGATTGGACCGTTGTGATCCATAGGATTTTCACTGGCTGATTTTTGGGAGTAGATCGCCAGACCTTTCTTCCTAGTCCATCTTAGTCTGGAAGTCCTGCTGAAACCTGTTCAGAATCTTAGCAACACACAAGCCTTCACTGGCAGACGGCTGGTGGCTGCTCATGAGGTCCATTGGC